GTCTGGACAGTAAATGTGTTGTTGGAGCCAGCAGTTGGTTAGCTTAGCTTAGCATAAAGACTGGAAACAAGGGGTAAAAGCTAACCTGGCTATGTCTGAAGGTCAAAATCCACTTACCTCCTGCCTATGTGCTGGACTATTTCTTATTATTATACTATACTATACTATACTATACTATTTCAAACTATTCCTTTAGATAGTAATGTTATATATAAAGCATGTTACACAAATTAGCTTTGAAAATAAATTGATATGCATTAAAATATTGACGGTTTCAACTTGGGAAAGTTGTGGACTTTGTATCCATCAAATGGATAATTCACCCAGTTTATTATGACTCATCTGAACCATTTTGTTTGGCTGCAGCTGCTTCTCTCTACATACATTGTCCTCCCTACCCAGAAAAAAATCAATATTTTATCAAATGTAAACTGCAAAATGGTTATCAAATATGAATCATTTGTACCCTCCATGGTTAGTACAGACTACTGAGTCTCTGACAGAGTAGACCCAGTGCAGAGGCTGTCAAAAGACTGTTTACTATGATGAGCAGAAAGAAAATCTAATATGATGAACAGTTGACCTTTCGTGATTTGGAAACAGTCTGTATTTTTCCACTCCATGTAATTGCATTACAGTTCATTTTCCGGTCAAGAGACTTAGTAAAGATAGAGTCAAGTAAGAGGCAGCAGCAAAGAGAGCTGCATAGCACTGATTTACATGTTGCAGAGGTGGTAAGATAAGCCTCTGAACTGTTTCCTGAGGCAGACCGCAGCAGAATGCAGCAAAATACTAAACATCATGAATACTACTTTATAGACTCCCTTATTAGTTATTTCTAGTGATTTTATTCAAAGTCAGCTACAGGCTCTGTTTGTTAAGATGCAAGTAGCCTAATAAAACTAGCTTTGTGAATAATTGATTAACTTGCTTTGTTTATGAAGACAGTCTGAGATGCATGTAATAGGGACATTTTTAATTGGGAAATATCCACAAAAGTGCAAAATGCATAGGAGCAGGCTGTTTCTTTAGCTGACCAGTAGTAATCAAGTAAAGCAGAGACACTCATAAAGGTGAAACCCACTGAATCATCTAACCCAGATTCCCCGTTTCTCCTCCCCCCCTTCCCCCTCTGCCCACAGCCGTCACCCTGTGAATGGTGCCGCTGCGAACCAAATAATGAGGTGCACTGTGTGGTGTCCGACTGCGCCGTCCCAGAGTGTGTCAACCCTGTGTACGAGCCGGAGCAATGCTGCCCCATCTGTAAAAACGGTAAACACTCATCTCCTTTGGAATTCAACGCACACTCCTTAGAAGTCATTAAATTTTCATTAAACCAATGACGGCAAGTTTATCTGTGGTATTGCCATTTGATGGCTGCGCCTTCAGAGGATTAGGATGTAATTGATGTTTTATGAATTAAAATTATTACCTTGGGCCCGTTGGACACTAATGAGCAGTACTAGTTTTAATTATAAATGACACACTAAGCAGAGTAAACATTAGCCCATTGATTAAAGGCATGGTAGGAGGGACTAATGGGTCCTTGGAGAGCCTTTTATCTCCTGGTGCCCTGACGCCCTTGTCACACACAGCCAATCCCTAAATTAGAATTATAGGATTCCAATGGTTCATTGGCTATTTACAAGGCGAGGTGGGAGATTTCCCTTTGCCAGCACCAATCCTGAGGGACAGATGGAACTTTATGACTAAAGTACAGTAACTGCTCATCTGCAATGTGATCCTGGCGGGAATGATCAATAGCAAAGAGGGCCCATGGGTAATATCAAATGCAGCCACAACAGAATTGCGCATCCTCAAATCAATGATTTCTGTTGTGTCATTTTTACACAAATAACAAAAGATAATTTGAGAGCTGAAAAAGTTGACAAAGATTTTTCAGAACTCAAATGAGAACCTAATTAATAAGATTTACGCTTGTGATTATGTGCCCTGTTATTGCATTGCAGTCTTCTCATTATGTTGAGTGTCACACCAAAAATAGAGAAATTGTTCATGAATATTCTTGTTGAAAGAAAAATATCCTGAAATATTTCTTTTCCTTCCTTCCTTTTTTTTCTTTCAAGCAGCAGTTGACCTATAAATGTGAAGAAAGGAATTTAGTTTGAGGCGAATGCTAAATGGCTATTTCACCACAACTACCCACATTTTCTTTCACACTTTCTCTCATTTCCTCTTTATCCCCCTTGCTTTCTTTTCTTTTATTTCAACACACAAACACCCACACTAACAAGGCTGCAGAAGCTGCTAGGAGAGAGCTAATCCAGGCTGACAGGACACAGTGACACCCTTGGCATTTCAGGGTAGGCCTGCCGTTTCTAGGCTCCCCAAGGGTGCCTGGTCAGGCTCTGGCAGACAGATAAATCTCTATGGGAGTGGATGGCTGAGGGCTGTAGGGAGAGGACAATGAAGAATGCCATTTAGCTCTCATTTCTGGCCAAGGTAGAGGGGACTGTGAAAGGAAGACATCCACTTATGTGCTCCAGTTAGACATGCAATTAGTGGAAGACAGTCAGACATTTATCTTTTACTTTACCTGCAGCAAGAGTTCCAAATAATTATGTGAAATGAGCATAACTCTTTTAAAATGTTAGTGTTTTTTGCACACCCTTTCTCAACATGGAAGGATCATAACACACAGAGCAACAGTTCATATTTTGGCATGGTAGTTGTGGTGTGTGTTTAACTCCAGACCACAAGGCCACGTTTTATATTGTGACAGAAGACTGATTCTACTGCCATGCTAGCATATTGAACAAAATGCTAATATTAGCATTCTAACATGCTGATGTTAAGCATGATGTGTACCATGTTCACCTTCATTGTGCTAGCTTGCTCATATTTGCTAATCAGCATTAAATACAAAGTCAGTGATGGAATGTAACTAAGTCGGCCTACACTTACTTAAGTACAGTACTTTTAGTTACTTTGCAGATTTGGATTACTAAGACGAAATATAAATTATTTATCATCATAGGATAGGCTATCCAGCAGTATGTATACATATATGATTCTGAAATGAGCCATGCATAATGTACTTGTACTTGCCTATTTTAGCCTACTTTTAATTATGTATTTTTGTGGACAAATTAAAAGCTGAAAAAGTTCATTTATCTGCCAAATGTTAACTATTTGAAAACAGATGAAAGTGTCATTTAGAGCTTTATTGCCACATCATCCACATAACGTGTGTTTTGGAGAGCATGCTCATTTCACAAAATTTGATGTGACTCTATTTCCATAGAGAAAGAAGCATACCTATATATATGGATTACTCTATGTCTGCTGGGTAACTCACATATACACAGTGTTGTGGTTTAAGGGGCAATTGCTGCATCTGCAGACAAACTCTACTGCGTAGGAAGTTTAGCTGTAGTATCTCCACACTGCATTTGCATTGTTCCAGAACAGGTGAAAGGTCTGGCTGAACCCACTCACTCTAAGATAGTTATAGAACGCTTTGGGGTTGTTTAAATTTCAGAACCAATCAGTAATGTTGTTGAGGCTAATTAGCTCCCATTAATCATTGATTTGGTTATTTTGGAGGTTAAAATACCTATAACAAAATGTGGTTGATTATGGGATTCTAACAGACATAATGACTTTATTTAAATTTAAGGCAGATCGTAACTAGATTTCAGCATCTAAAATATTCTGATTGCAACTGTGATATGCGAAGGTCTTTTGACTTGTAAATCACCAAATAAATGCGTAGGGCTGCCCACCGTTTGTAAAAGCTTTCCATTATTAGGATTTAGTTTTTCAGCTTGTCTGCTTCTTGGGGTTTCACTATGAAAACAGCAACAGAGAGCAGAGGGCAGCACGATGAAATAGTCAGTCAGTGGGAGCTATTATCTGTAAGCTCCACATTCACTGAGTTTGACTGATTCAGCTCAAATCTTATCATGAATTATATACTGTAAATGCATCACGGGATACATGTAATTATATAATTATCATGAAGAAAATGATAATGAGAAGTAGTCTGAAAATGGGCCAATGTTTCTTCAGTATGATAGGATTAAACCATTTATAGATCTGCCAGGTCTTATCTGTCTGAAGGCTGTCATTTGTGTTTTTTTAACAGACATATCACAAAGTTGCAGTGTCATAGAGCTGGTTACAGTTAGGTAACATATTCAGACTGACATTCTGTGGAAAAGCTGCAGTTTGTTTGTGGAATTAGTTTTTTAGCTGTTTTTATGGAAGCATTTCTTACCTCTAGGCAAGAACCTTAATTGTATTTGAGCCAAATAGACTGTAATGAGTCCCAATATCCGTTCACTTTTTAAGCTGTAGTCAGGGAAAGTATGATGTGCTGAGACAGTTCTGACACAGGACAAACATTTTCTGACTTCTGACACTAAACTTTATTGGCCATGAATTGATCACAGGTGACAGTGTGTCCTTCGAGCGGTGACGGGTAGCTGAAACTGTGTCCTTGCGCCTCCAAATCTATCTGGCTATAAACAATCACACTTGGCAGCAGCGCCAGTCACCCCTCTTCCCTCATCAACCTCCACTGAGTTTGTCCTGTAACCTGTGCCAGCTGTCCAGAGGCAGATCAATGAGAGTTAAGACTTGGCAAGCGCTCTCAATGTCTCCTCTAAGCTCAGATCAAAGGGGTTTTATCAGGTCCAAATAGAGCATGGGACTCATCTATGCCGAGGCAAAGGATAGGGATACTAGGTAGCCAACAGCTCCCTTTGTCAGTGTCACATGGATATTTATGGCCTCCTGCACTTTATTTTCACTCATAAACCCTGAAGAAAATTGAACCAAATCCCTATAGACACCTGAAGCAAAACCTTGTGAAATACTGACAGTTGCTGGCCAATCCTATTTGCCTGTCTTTAGGCTATTAAACTAAGCACTTGGTTAAAGCTAGGTTAGAGTCACGGTCTTGGTTAAATGAGATTTAAAAAAGTCAGCGTGGCTCGTCTCATGCTTTGAGTCAATATGCATTTTTAATATGTAACCAAGACCATTATATTTACCTTATAGTCAAGTGCTTTACGTTGCCTAAACATTAGCATAAATATACTAATAGGCCTTTTTCACAACAGACATTTTAACTTGTCGTAGCAGGAAAAGTACAAGTGTTTCAAATAACATCAGCAATGGCTCTGTTGACAGTGTGACACTAAGCCAGCATGAACAAAACCAGGTCTCTGAAACTAAGCAGCTAAAAGGAATTAAGCAATCATTAATTCTATTATTATTTACTGTAATACTCCTGTATTACCTACTTTGTGCCTTTCCTACTTTGACAATTGAAATTACCTTCCGTTAAAAAAAAGGCCAATCATGCTTTTGGTTCCCATGAATGTTTTTTGTAGGAGACAGAGTTAAAAGCCCAGTGTGTAACATTTTGACAGAAATGGAATATAATTGTCATAGGTATGCTTTCATTAGTTTATAATCAATCACATGAGCATTTTGCAGTCACTGTAGTTTCTCCTTTGTGCTTGGAAAGGGGGGTGAAGCGAGTGAGTTGCACTAAGATGCCACTAATCCCTGCACACTGGACTCTTAAAGGGCTGTAAAAATTGTGGTGTTTTTTGAAAAAGCTCTGTTCTCTCATGCAAATTTGTATTATTGACTTGGGTCAACTGCAAAAACAAAGAGAATGAGAAGCAGAGCTGTTTATAATTTCATAAGCCTCCTAACTTGGCATCTTCTGCTCAGATAGGACTTTTTCACAATGGATATTTTGACTTGGAGGAAGGCACAGGAAAAGCACAATTGTTGCTAATAACGTTAATGATGGCTCTGTTACGTAACTGTCCCAGTGTGACAGTGAGCCAGGATGCACAGTACCATGACCCTGAAACTGAAGCAGCTAAATGGTATTCAGCCATCATTAATTCTTATATTTACACCTGCGCTTTTCTTACTGTGATATGTCAAAATGTCTACCATGAAAAAAGGCCTGTAATACTGCGCCCAAGTTGAAATATTATGCAGATTTGCATGCAGCTGGCCTGTGTCCCCAAATCTCCCCTGTGTAACTGCTCATCAGGTCAACCCTACTGTTCCACATTTACATTGCTAGCATTATGTTAGCCTGTAGTAAATCAAAATCACTGGGACAGAGGTGTCCATGAATATTAACAGTGAAAGCTACTGTGTCTTCAAGAGTTATGAGACATATGAGGATTTTATGACTGCTCGTAGAGGAGTCTTGAATTTAGCAGGTTTTACAGAGCTGAATGCTGAGAGCAATCCAAAGTCACCGTCATACCAATTGAGCTGCTGATTGCTTCATTTAAATGATTAAAACTGGTGCAAATTTCTGACACCTTCTGGCTCCTCTGTCACAAGAAGTAGAGGATGAGATACACCGCCTCAAATTGCCCCGAGGCAGGAGAAACAAATTGGATTTAATCATTTCACGTGATATTTACCAATAATAAATGTACTGCATTCCCACAAAAGGTAACAGCATTTTTGGCTTCCTTGAGGAAAAATCCTAAAATGTACCCAGGCTAAAAAGATCAAAAACATACTGATACAATACATGAGGTGTTCCGGTACACAATCAAACACGTCTTAGAATGAAAGGAATCGTATCAACATAAAGGGATCCACAAGTAAATCCTACAGTGATTTAAGGATAAATCAGATGTCAAAATGAATCTGAGTTCTTTATTGTTTTGGAAGTCACTACAGAGTCTCCGTGTGAGTTTGTGGAAAGAAACCATGTAAGGAATTGCTAAGGAGTTCTGTGGCCTTTTCATACAGACTGAAGTGATTAACACCATCCTCTCTTCTGCCTCTAAAAGCAGCTTTCTCTCTCTCTTCCTCTGTCTCTCTGTACTCCAGCCTCTCTGTACTGCTAAGCCAGCGCCTGGCAGGCTTCTCTGCTTGCGGCGCATTAGGATGCAAAGCGCTCCATGTCGAGGGAGAAGGGGAGACTAACAAAAGCGCTTTAGTGTTGCAAAAACAAGCCCATCGGTGCATGCCCGTGAAAAGATCTGTACGTCTGCTCTGACTCCCCTAACTCCCTGCAGCTCTCTGCATCACTCCACCACCCCTCCGAAAAGAGAACCTCTCAGGAGAGCCACATCCAATTCTTGTCGTTCTCATTCCTTCTTTCCTGTCTTTCTCCCCCTTCCCCTTCCTTCCCATGCGGCAGGTCCAAATTGCTTTGCTGGAACGACGATCATCCCAGCCGGAATTGAAGTAAAGGTGGACGACTGCACCATCTGCCGCTGCCACAACGGAGACTGGTGGAAGCCAGCACAGTGCTTGCGGCGGGAGTGCCTCAACGGCCAGTCGTTGTCATAGAGAGACTCCACCGGGGATGGAGGAAAAGCTCAGGCAAGGCCCTGCCTACTGCACCATTTTGTATGATTGACAGGGCAGGAGCACAATTCCTAAGCAACCTGAGACAGCATTGTATCGAAGAGATGCTCTCACAAGCTTCACACAAATACAAATTCAGCCACTGGGAAGAAGACAGGACTTGTCTCATGGCTGTTTCCACCCTCCAGTTTTAATTGTCCTATATATTTTCAAAAGTTAATTTGCTTGACTTGCTGCTCTCACACGAAAAGTTTCTAAGCTCCTTGAACTCTTTCCTAACAATTGGCAATGTTGAATTGCTCATGTTGATTTCTGTATGTATGTCATCTGCTTGTTGTACCCGTCTATCACAATCATGCAGGTGTTGTAAAATTCCAACAGCAGGAAAAACAAACTGTAAGCACACTTAACGGCGCTTTTTTTGTCACACGAAGATACAGACTGGTGAAAGCACTGCAAATGTGTGCTTGAGTTTCACAACTTCACTCTAAGAGCTTGTTTACAAGGTGCACATCACACATAAATGTTTGTGTCTTCATAAGACTTAGATACTTTTTATTGCTATGGCAGGAACTCACCTCTAACACTTAGATGATGCTACTGTCAATTTTATAAAACTGCTATAAAAATCCCATTATTGATCAGCACACCATGGTTTTAAGTCTTGTCTCTATATAGTAGCAGCACAGGCAGGGTAAGCTGGTACTGTAGAATAAGCTGAAAGGCTGTAGAGGTGTTAGCCAACAACTATGAGAGGGGAAGATGGAAAATTCTGCAAAACTGCATCAAAACAACAACTTTGGGCAGCCCCTTTCCGGCTTAATTGTGGTTATTGTTTTCTCTCAGAGGTCCATATCCTCCAAAATATTCCCACTAACTAACTGCTTGAACTTGTTATCAAAGCAATTAGCAAGCCAAGAGCAGCCTGCTTTAATTTCCCTTAATCAAGGAGTATTCTGTGATAAATCATCCAGCTGGGTGCTTGGCGCTGCATGCTGGGCACACTCAACGAGAACCAGCAGACAAAAGAAGGGAATCTGCATATGTCTAAATGCTTTTAAGCAGCATTCACGTGCACATTGTCCATGTGAACATACACATGCACGCAATTCATCCCATAATCTCATAGCCACAGTATGTTGATCTGCACCCCACCCAAACTCTTAAACCTATAAGGCTTGTTAAGATACAAAGCTCTTACATAATCCCACTGCTATAGATCATGTAATACATTTTCAGTTCCTCCCCTCCCCGATATGTTAGAATAGCTCTTCCAACGTGGTGTGGCTATGACTAAGGCTATAATATAGAGACAAGCTAATGTATTGCCTTGATATTTTCCCAGACCAGAGTGGTCCTCAACTGGTCTAGTCTAAAAGAAAAAAGTATCCAACGAGGGCCCAAAACACCATATTTTTGAGATGATAAATACTAGTCATTATTTCAAAGGTGAATTCCAGTAAGCTCGTGCCATTCATCACTAGAATTTTTTCCATTTCCAGAAAATCCGTTCCAGTTAACCTTTGAGACCCTATTCCTGGGTGGTGATGGATGGGCTGCTTAATAGCAGCTCCCAGCACTCTGTAATGAGACAGAAATGAACATGGGATAAAGACCAGTGACTAAAGAGGTAGATTACCTTAAAAGGCACCAAAACTAAGTTTTAGGAAGAATCTCATTGTCTGCAAAGTCTACTGCATAGTCTTAAGCTGCAGCCCATGAGGTGATGGAGGAATCACACAACTGAAAGAGTGTGGGTGGAGTTCAATCTTAGGTGCAACAATGGAGCTTGGGTCATTTTCATCATTAAGCTACAGTGATTTAGTGTCTTTCCATATGAAGAGACAGACCTCATCTATCTGGCTTGAGGTCTGCAGACTCATAAAACAAAACTGACATATATGGTTTATCAATTACAGCCTCAGTGCTCCAGACATTTTAGGATTAATAAAAGGAGCTTCATTCATCTTAATTACTTTAAATGCCAAATAATTATTCAGCCACTACGTGTATCCAAAAATCCACTGGAATTACTTTACTGGGTAGCAACAGAGAGAGGTTGAAGCGAGTGTGCCAGTTGACAGGGCTCAGAGGCATTGCTGCTACCGCCGATGCCTTATTGCTACTGTTCAAGAGAAGATTCACAAAGCATGGCCTTTGGCTTCATACAGCATGAACAGCCCCGACTGCTTTAAGTGCTACTTTGTTTACTGTCATGGATTACCCCAAACTAGCTGTTGTTTTACCCTTAGACATTCCAGCAAAGTGAATTGGTAGGAGTAACAGGGCAAGGACAAAAACCACAGCTAAAAATGCAGAACTGAATTTACAGATTACTCTAAAAATACAGTAAATGTGGAGGCAGCAAAGCTGGCAGATCAGAGTATCCAGGCAACTTGATCCTATGACAGTGTGACATTGGAACTCACTGTAGTGTTTGTTCATTATGATACAATTTCATTCTATGCTTCTGAGGTGCATTGCATTTGTTTAACTAAACTGGGGTGCCATGGCTGCCCATCTCCTTAATTTGCAAGATACAAGCTGCCATCATTAATTAAGTGCAAAAGCAGAAGTGCAGAGGGTTTAGTGGTTGTCAGCAGAAAGTCAAACTATTCAGACCAAGAGCTGAGTTGTGATCCAGGCTGCTAGTGGGAAGCAAAGAAAGAAAGAGAGATATGAAGTAAAATAAGCAAATCCAATATGTAGAGCAGGTAATACAGTGAAAACTGTGAAAACTTTTTTTTTTTTTACACCCCAGAAAGTGAGATACAGGCATGGAACAGGACTGTAATGGTGCACTGTAAGCAGCTGTCATAAAAATGACTTGTATAGATCTCATTTACAAATAAACAGGATGAGTTTGGATGAACATACCTAGTACATTCCTGTGTGCGGCACTTGAAAGAATAGGCCGCATTTAAAAACACAATCAAAACCATTTGTATGTGGCACACATCCATTATACGCATCTCAGAGAGAGAGAGAGAGAGCCTCAGCCTGGGCAAACGTACATTTCTCCTTGCAAAAAACAGGAAGCTGCTTTTCAAGTTTCAAGGACAGATCAGATAAGTCTGTCTTTGTTCATTTTCTGCCAAGAAAGTTGAGTCTTTATATCTGTTTGAGAATGTCTATTCAAATTACCCCATCTGTCGTCACATCATTCAAACCGCTGGCTTGTACATGGGCATTTTGTAGAGGTATATCATTTGCTCTTTCCATGAGACACCGATTTACTGTAGCTGGAAACTCTGAAAGATTGTTTTTTTTTGTCCTTTGTTTTTTTCAGCAACAAAACTGTTACATGAAGTGTGCCTGAAAACCAACACAGAGTACTATCTGGGATACGAAGAGAGAAACACTGTTATTATACAATCAATTGTATTAGTTTTTGGGGCACCAAGGGTCTGTTGATGACGAACTACAATGTAGGATAATATCTCAAACAAATTTGAAATTTATGCTTAAAATAAGAGCATCTTTGATTGTATATGACTACATGCTCGCACAGGTTCACCCTAAACTGTACAAGACACAAACGGTCAAAATTTTAAAAACGTTTAAACAACCCTTGGTGTTCCCCATGTTGTTCATATGTAAATATCTTCGAACGTATAATGTGTATTCTGAAATCTGAGGTGGAGTTAAAAAAACAAAAAAAAAAAAAAAAAGACATAAAAATAAGAAAGTCTGTTTCACTTTCATCAGACAACACCTTTTTGTATAGTAGACTTGAAAGAAGTGGTTTATTCGGCAAATGAGTGTGGACGATTTCTTTTTTTTTTTTTGGTTCATTCTGAAGTATGCTGATGTTTCTGGACACAGTGGCATTTAAGATGACAAGAACACACACCATTAATTACTGAAGAATGTGTAATTCCTTAGTGTAAAAAGGACAACGGTTTTTTGGTACCTGAATTTATGCTGGGTGCTCTATGTGAGGTGAACTAAAACCCTGGGGATGCTAAGGACAAATTTAGCCACATTTCCTATGTTCTAAAACCATACAAGAAACAAGAATACACGGTATGAAACAGCTGACTCAGGACAGAGCACAAGTTCAGATAACCTTTCTACAAGCAGAACATTTCAGAATAAATAAAAGTACAGTATTTTCCTGGCTCCGGGCTGTGTGAGAAAGAAAATAAGACGATACCAGTGCTTAATGGTTTTGTAATGCTCAGTGAGTTCAAGGGCATTACTCACAGGTTCATTCCTCCATTCTATTTCATTACAAGTCAGTCTGGGCTACTATCTCATCCGCACTAATTGCCTTCTCCCACCTCCCACCATGGACAAGAAAAGGGAAGCAATTTTATGCAGCACATAGCAATCAATAGCAATTAGGTGCATCCCTGACTAATCCCATTGAAAATGGCGTATTGGGGGATGGCCAGCAGAAGACCTCTTAAAGCACACATACCTTCACCCCAGCAGCGGTGGTGGGGAACGTACACAAAAAGTGGACACAGCAAATGCCAGCACTGTGACAGAACAATTAATTGCTTTGTTTTTCCTGTTCTACACTTTATATTGAATCTCCATCGATCTTTTTCAGGGACCCACTCTCTCCATTTGTATCAAAGAGGCATTTTCAATTAGATAATTAGATAATTATCTCTTCCGGGTAAAGCCATGCAGATTATGGAATATAATTCCACTCTAAAATCACTCGTTAGATACCACAGTGGAGAAAGAATTGATTTGAGCTCGATGCACATGACTAAAAACAAAACGTCAGATGAAATTGCATAAATGTGTCACTTGAGAGAGAGGTGGGTGAGAGGCCAGCAGAGATGCAGGCATTGTACTGAAATGTCATGGTGAAGAGGGAGCAATTTAACAGTAGATCTACTTCCCTACCTTCACCTATGGCCAAGAGCTTTGGGTAATGACTGAAAGAATCAGGACAAGCACACAAGCAGCCAAAATCAGTTTCCTTCACAGGGTGGCTGGGCTCACCTTTAGAGTGTGGAGCCTGGATATCTGGATGGAGCTCGGAGTGCTCCTTGGCATTCAGAGGAGTCAGTTAAGGTGGTTTGGGGCATCTGATAAGGATACATCATAGACGCCTCCCTGTGGAGGTTTCCCCAGGTTTGTCCAACTGGGAGGAGAACCCAGCGCAGGCCCAGAACATGCTGTGGGGGTATTACATATCCCAACTGGCCTTGAAATGCTACGCAATTCTCCAGGAAGTACTCAAGGATGAGGCTCGAGGGAGAGATGTCTAGGCTACCTTACTTCTTTGGGGACATTATACATTTGGTTTACCCCTACGGTTTCGAGGTGTTTGGAGTATGAGCTCTTAAAATTATTGGATGTTTACTTGCGGCCCCTTGTCACAAGATACATTATATGCATATAAGAGGGGTTATTGGGTTATATTAGTTTGTACAATGTGTTATCCACCAAGATAATGAGTGAACAGCTGGCCATCACAGAGAGGGGGGAGACGTGACATTTAAATATGAGGATAATGGTGCACATTTTCAGACAGTCTCTCCTGGAAGGCACCCATGCCTTTTTACTCAGTTGTCCATATAAGCAGTGAAAGAAATTGTGAAAACCATAAAGTTCAAACTCTTGCTCCTTTCTCACCTCTACACATCTGACCAATCACAGTCTGAAGTGGTTTTTAAGTTGGTTTCGGAAAGTTACAGAAATGGTCAGAATCTGATGTCGGAAAGATGTGGGGGAGGAGGTTCTCAAAACTATACGAGCACTTGACGAGAAGCAGAAGAAGCATACTGGCAGCTTCAGGAGGTAACAGTTCCACTACAGAATGATTTTTCTCTCAAAACCTGGCCACAATGATCGTTCTATTGTTTCATTGGAATCGATGTAAGAGGCTAGCACTAGCTTCTGTCATCATCTGAAATGGATGAATGGAAATATTTTGAGTATTCGTTTTCATGTAGGTTTTCTTAGTCAAAGAAAAATCTTGCTAACTCCTGCCTGTATGGTGCTGATGTTATTTTAAAAGGATGTTTATATTTTTTTAGAGCGTCACATACATCTCATTCCTGAAACTTAAGCCCATATTACTTAGAAAGAGGTTTAATGGAGCGCTCTGGTAGCTGGCACCCCATGTACCAAGGCTGGCTCCTTATAGCAGGTGTCATGGGTTTGAATCTGCCCTCTGGCCCTTTGTCATGAGCCCTCTCCTGTCCATTTCTCATCTGACCTGTTACATAAAGCGGAAAAAGCCCCCAAAAATATACAAAGAAGAAAGAAAGAAAGATGTTCAAGCACATTGCTGTGAAATGAAGCCACGCTTTGGGACGTTTCTTCCTCTTCGCCTCGATTCCTCCTTTGCTCCAATTTTCCAGCAGCATAGGCGGATGAGTTTGACGTCATTGTTTTGTAAAGCACAACTGTCAGAAAAACATTGATAAAAAGAAATGAAAAGCTTTGAGGGATATGATTCAGATGGATCACACTATTTGGAACTGATTCCCAGCTGGAACCTGGGACCACCGGTTCATACTGTACAGTAGGACACATCATCACACTCTCAAACACGCCCCAAAAATAAAGAAACAACTAATTGTTCAGATAACTACTTTAATTTTAGATTTTGAGAGCCACATTATTGTTCTATTATTGTTTACGTGATTTACTTTATCACCACATATAAAAAAAAAAGACATAATGACAAGTGATATCTCAATGCAAAATGATTATAGAACTTATGAAAAATTGTTTAGACCAAGGTCTGTGGGTCTGGCACGGGGAGGAGGCGGAAGGCTGTTATGCAGTTGATGAGCCAGGTGGAGGGAGCTGACCACACCTTACCTCGCCTTACTACTGCCGGCTTGTGAGGGCCCTGGGGGTCAAAAATAATGTACTGGGTGCAGAGGGCCTGGTCTGAGCCTGGCAGTGCGTGGTAGGCAGCAGCACTCAGGGTCTGTGTCACATCGCTGTCGGGCTTTGGCTGCCGGCTCAGGAGTTGACCTCCTCCCTCTCGGAGCAGCTTGGTGAGCTCGTCTTTGGAAGGCGCCTTAAAAGAGCCGAGGAGGAAGAAGAAACAGCCATCGAAGAGTGGTGGGAGCTACGAAAGATGAATGATTAAGAAAAAAAAAAATCAGCCACTAGTGAGAACTTCCAATACTTCCTTGTTACCTGTTAGACCTCTTATCTTTTATCCTGTTCTATTAAAACATGTTAGTCACTCAGTGCCAGCATCAGGATAAAACCTAATTTTACAAACAATAGCAGAAGGCTTAAAATCTCACCTTTTGTCTATGATTAGACACTTTTATTTACTTCTTTACGGCAGAGCCAGGAGACATTTTTATCAGCAGCGTTCTACAGCCAAACTCTGCTGCTTTAAACAGAAATGCTAAGTGGTTCAGTGAATTAGGCCACTGGAGACTGTTCTATTCACAGCATCAATGAACTCAACTGTGTTGGATGTAAACTGGCTATCTCAAGAGTTTCCAATAGAAAAACTTTGGTTGGATTTCATTTTTGATGCATTTGACCTTAATTTATGATTACACTTGATGATAATGTTGTTGTTGTTTTTCTACACTAGACATTTTATTCAGCACAAGAGGGAAGAAAACAACAACAACAATGATGAGGACATCTTAAATAAACTAATCTTCAGTTTATTATCATGTCTGCCTGTGCAGGATCATCACTACCACAAACCCTGTATTCATTTGCCTCTCAGAGTGCTGATATCTTTCAGTGGATAAAAATGAAATTACTCACAACATAGTTTACATAAACAAAGCCTGTAAAAAGTATTCACTACCCTTGGACTTTTTCAGTTTTCAATTTTGTCAGTTTTCCACCATGAATCACAATGGATGTAATAACAAACTCTTATGACAGACTGTTATCAAATTTCTACAAATGTATCAATACTAGGTATAAAAAATTAAATGTCAAGTTTAATAGAGACACATTTAGCAGAAAGTAGCGAGTGTGTGTAAATAGTCTGTATCAGCTTTGCCATCTAGACGATGCAGTGTGCCCCCAGTCAACTTTCATGGTGACTGATGGTGAGCAGTGATTTTCAAGCTGGGCCACAAATTCTCGTCTTGGACTGAGGTCACGACTCTGACTTGGCCACAGCAGGACATTAACGTTGCTGTTTTAAGGCCACTCCTTTGTAGCTTTGGCTTTGTTTGGAATTGTTGGCTTTCTGCAAAATAGACCCTCTCCCAAATAACGGTTCTTTGACATACTGTGGGATTTTGCAGTATTTTGCTGCACTCACTTTAGTCTGTATGTTCTCAAACCTTACCAGGCTTTGAAGTGGGGATGGCATGTTTCTACTGATGTTTGGAAAACACTAAACCATAGCCTTAAAAATAGTCAAAAACACTGTCTTCCCTAATTGGTACTTTTCTGTGTGTTGTTTATGTGTCCATCTATCTAAAAACAGTTGGCTGCTTAATCAAAGATATATGTGCGGCATGGCACAGGGGGTAATACTATGTATATTTCTGTAATTCTTTAGTTAAAATGAATTTGTAGAGATATAAACTATTTGGTTTCTCTCGATTAGTGTCAAAAAAAGTCCAATTACACAGTGATTCATAATTTCAAAACACAAAACTTTGAAAATGTCCACAGGAGTCCTTTTAATGGCGTTCTACACTGCTGAAAAATAATCATGTGTCACTGCCTGGAAAAACAAATTTCTCCCAAGAACAGAGGGTCTAGACAATCTATACTCATCTATTTCATGTGTTTGTTTGTATGCTTCTCAATTACCAAGCTACATCTGTTGATGCGACTGCGCTGGGGGCCTTCTCCCACTTCGTGCTCCGTTTCGGGCATCCACTTGCCTGCCTGCAGACATGCCTCCACCCCTGGCATCAAAGAGAGGAGGAAAAAAAAAATTAAAGCTACAGCTAATTATGTTGACTTGAAAGAGTGTGACAAGGCAATTGCGAAAGGGGGATGACAAAGCTCATGTCTGTTTTATCACAACGAGCCGAAAGATTTCAAGTATTGGCAAAGCTGCAGTTGTTGACAGAGAAAGATGCCCACAGCGTGATGGAGTTAATGATGCAACCCTCGTTTTAAGTATCTCAAGCTTAAGCGGAATTCGAGCATCATCTCTTTTCTCTCCATCTCTTGAGGTTTTACAGAGTCAAATTGTGACTGTGCGACAGCCAGCATCCCGGCATTTTTCGAGTTAGAAAAGAATCTTTTGTTCCACATCCTTAGGAAAAGAACCTCTAAAGACAGAAAAGTTTTATAAAAAAAGGATACGGAGGGGAAAGAAGTCACATTTTAATGACCCCTCACTGTCACAGACAAAAAAAATGCCTCTGAACATAACACATATCACAGTGCTGCTGTTCTCCGTAAGTGTTCTATTACAGAATATCGTATGTTGGGGATATTAAAAAATAAATAAATGCATCTGAACATATTGAAAATAGATTTGGTTGACAATACTGCAGTTTGCTGTAAAAAAGAACAAAAGAAGTCAAACAGACCTGAGCATATGCTTGGCTTAAATAACTATTTTGATTGTGCACATGCAGATACTTCTCACAACACTTCCAACCATGAGAGACGCAAACAGTCCTCTTGACTGAATACACATCTGCAAAGTATCTAGCTTTCGCCACACCCACACAACGTTGTGATTAATTTCACCTTCGGTTGCAGTTTAGTGCTCCACACAGTTGTTTCCAGCTGTGAGATATGGTGACATGAACAGATTAGGGTAAAAGTGTGTATACACCTTGTCACAACAGCACCCCGTCATGAAGCAGCAAATTGCACACATACAGTACACATACACACAGTCTCCAGAACATGAGATGGAGTGTAATTACATTTCTTCATCCTCCTTAATTACAGCTTTCATTCACGGGGACCCTGCCAGAGAATTGGGCAGAGAGGAGGGGAGATACTGGGGTTAATCGCTCTGGACGATGGCGCTTAGTGCAGAGGAACCATTAGCATATTTGATAACTATGTTCACAAAGACTGAATGCAGAAAACATCTCAAACTCCTTCCTTCCTGAGTCAGTAAATGAGTGAAGAGCCAGATCACATCCTCGAGAGCAACCGGAACTGCAGTCTCACTTTGAGGACAGCTCACTGTGAGGGATTTGACTGATGTGAAAGTCTGAAGGCCAAAACTGACAATTTAGGATCATGATGGGTTACAATAGCTCATTCTTTATCCATAGTCAGTATCCTAAAAACAGAAGTATTCAGGTGTGCACAGGTGGCACAGCAGCAAAACACTGACCCACAGTTGAGTCCCAGGTTCAATCCCTAATAGCAATGCCTCCGGCATGGCAATGTGTCCAACGAGGGCAGCTGCCCGAGTGAAGCTTCACGCTGGCAGCTGAAAAGAGACAGTGAGAACTCATGTGTTGGGAGGAAGCACATGGGTGCACAGACACCCTTACTGGGCCAACAGTGGGAGTAGTTGTGACAAGAGTGCTGGGAAATTAGCCAATACAAATAGGGAAATAAAGGGAAGAGAGGAAGAAAAATTATATTAATAGGAACTTTTGGAACATGCACTTTTTAGCTTTCTTTCGAAAAGTGAAATTAAAAGCTTAATCTCTCCCGGGAAACAGTTTGTACTGTCCAAAGTGAATAAAATATGTCTGCCATTCTGCGTAAAAACACCTTCTTGACACAATGTGTCTTGTTTATTTAACTCATAAAAAATATAAATATAAATATAAATATAAAAAAGTCAGTGCAGCTATAGCGTGGAGTTGCCAGATACAGAGGGCAAGCACAAGTTTTAGTTTCTATATAGAAACTTGCCAACTATAATATAACAGAGCAATAGAACTCGGCATGCCCTGAAGCCACAAACTGTCATTTTTATATTTTTACACGTTAAGCAAATGAGATACAACATGTTTTTTTCTCCTGCTTCCAGTCGTTTTGCTGAGCTAGGCTAAACACATCCTGACTCCAGCATGGACATTGAGATAAATATCATATTATATTTATTTATTTTATATTTATCTTCTGATCGCAGTCTTATAAATTCAAATAAGTGTAATTCACAACTGTTTCTTTATGTGATAAGTGCATGATGGACAAAGAGATTTAAACCATTGTTTGATTTTCAAACTTTCAATAAAAGCTTAGTTAACACTTTTAGCTGCAAGTCCCATTAGGCAGAACGAAGTGGATTGTCATGACGTATTCGTGTTGCAACAAAACGTAAGACCAATAATAAGGTAAGCTTAGTTGACAGCGATGGTACGCAAAGGCAGGTGACAGTGAGAACTCAGCTGCTTGTGTGCACACACACACACACAAAAAACAAGGACAGAGACAGATAAGATGCCACTGTGATTGTCATGAGGGAGACAAGCTGTGTCAAGTGCTCAGCCTGCGTGGAGAAAAGAGAAGGGGAGGGGCTGAATATCGTCCAGACACACACAAAATCTTATACAGTGACACAACCACACACGCAAAAACACACATTCAAACTTGAAATGGCTTACTGGCAGAGACAGAGACAAGCGCGCATGCTGTTATACTACACACGCACACGCAC